GCCGCCAAACGGCCCCATTTTTGGGGTCGCGAATTCTGCTATTTTGAGGCACGCCCGCCTGACTGCTACGTGATGAGGCGACTGGGACAATCTTGCATGATTAAGACTTCCATGGCCGGCCTGCTTTCTTATGATGGAAGCAATCAGCATTGAATTAACATGAAAGAAACAGGCACAGGGGAGGCCCACTCAAGCGAAGCCAGAATTGCTGGACTTTCTCAGCCCTGCATTTGGAGTCGCACAGCTTGCCATTTTCACCAACAGTGCAAAGCCTCTCGAACCGTCATTTGTGGGGTTTCGAGACAGAAACGAAGCCTTCCGAAGCCTCCCCCGTGGGGTTCCGAGGCCCTCCGAAGCCTCCCGAGGCCTCACTCGTGGCGTTCGTGGCCCTGATGTGGCTTGTGGGTTTTTGGGGTTGGTTTGAAGTTGGTTTGGGTGGGTTGACCATGTTTAGAAGGCCTGGGTGGGTTTGGGCTGGCTTTGGGTGGGTTTGACCATGTTGTAGAAGGTTTTTGAGTGGGTTTGAGAGGTTTGGGGCTGGGTTTGGGTGGGTTTGACCATGTTTTAGAAGGGTTTTGAGTGGGTTTGAGAGGTTTGGGGCTGGGTTTGGGTGGGTTTGACCATATTTAGAAGGGGTGGGTTTGGGTTTCGAGAACTTGTTTGGCCGGTTTGTCTCTTACCTTGGCCGCCTGGCTGAGAAGGTTTCAGCAGCAGGGGTTTCGGCCACCATGGAGCGTGCATCGTCCATCTATACACGCCTATCTTCATCTATCAGTCGCCTTCCAGCGACGTGGACAGTATGCCCTCAACATCTCTTGCGGCCGCACGTGGCACCAAATACCGCTTCCGGCAAGAGACATGCCAAGGTGATGTGCGATTTGGTCATTTTTACGCCGTCGCCGACAAAATTGGGACCCTGTTCCTGGGCAGCAGATGCTGTAGATACTGAGATGCGAAGTTGAAGGGAACTTCGAGCAAGCTGCGGCTTAAAATTCTATAAGGAGAGAAAGCAGGGTCAGCTACGTCCCGAGGCGTGGTGGGGACTCCTCAATTAGTATTATAAAGCCCCAAGTCCCCGAGGCCTCGTATTCTTGCAAGCTAAGGGTGTTTTAAGGTTCTGGAAGGCCTCGGATGGGCCTCGAACGGCTTCAAACTCTGGGAAATGAGGCCTCGGGCGGCCTCGAACGGCTTCAAGCCCTGCGAAATGAGTTGACACTTGTTTTTGCAAGATTACGAGGCCTCAGGGACTCGAATCTTTATTTTTCTATTAAAGGGGTCACCAGAAGCATCGGACCGCTGTGTGTAGAATTTTAGGCCGCAGCTGGCTCCAAATCCCTTTGGTGGACTTGGACAAAGGCTTCAAGAAGCTTTGATGATCTTGCAAGCTATTGGCTATTGCTGACTCCACAAATCTTGGCAATCGTAGACGGAAGCCTCGATGATCTAGTTCCAGCGATGCCTTCTAATAAAGCTCAACGATCTCGATTGGCTAAACAAAAGCTTCGAGAACCCTCGATGACATTGCAAACTGACGCTGATCTCCATCGATTACAAGCATGATGAGCCATGATTGGTGCTTGGCCAACACACACGACCCACTTTCTCTGGGCCAAACGCAACTAAATCCAATCTGGCTTCGCCGCCGAGGGCCTCCGCAGTAGTTCATGTTCACGTGTATGAGTCTTTGTTGGCGACAGTAGTCTGTAGTGGCAAGGGAATCACTTCTTTTAAGATGTATCGGATTAGTGGCCTGTGGCGCCTTCACTGCAATCCTCTGTGTGGATCTGTGGTTCTGTCTCGAAACCCCACGGTTCGAGAGGCTTTGCATTGTTGGTGAAAAAGCTTCGTGACTGCAAATGTAGGCGTGGAAAAGTCCAGCAATTCTGGCTTCGCTTGGCCTCCCCTGTTCAACCCACATGTCACAACCAAAGTCGGCATCACTGGACACGAAACCTCACGAGGATCGCTGCAAAACGCAGTCAAGAGCTGAAATTTACAACACATCTGACCAAAGTCGGCACTGTGCCAAAGTGACCAACAGCTGTGGGAGTACCGCAAATGCACTACAAGAAACTTGGATTTGCCAGAACTGACCTTGCATGCACAACTGTCGCCACCGACGGCATTACAACGTGTGACCGCTGACCACTGATCATTAACCCGCATTACAAGCAAAGGCTGCGCAGAGATTTGGATCGCTGCGCTGAACAGGCGGCATTAGAGGTAATCTTGCATCCCCTTGTTCGCCGTGGTTGTCTATCTCATCGTTTCTTACCGAGCCGCGCCGATGTCGAGTATCGTTTCCCAATGGTGACATATGTGATCGACTTGCCGACCAGCATGGGCAGTAATGACAGTGATGTGCCGCATCAGCTGCCCATCCATCCGATTCTCCAGCTGTCGTTACAGCAGTCTACGCGCACAGCGTGCATGCATTTTAGAAGGAGCATGCCATGCTTTGTGGAAGTGCCCCTGAGGGTTAGCCAAATCAGTTGTGGCCACACTGTGATGTCGACTCGGGTGGAGGCCAGTACCGCATAGGATCAGCTGCGAGACAAGCAACGGTGTCACAATCTAGCATCAGGATTACAATTACAACAAAGCCTGATCAGAAACTGGAAAGGCGGTCTTTCTGCGCTGGCGTCGGAACTTTTTTGCATTGCGTCGTGATGTTAGCCGCTGCTACGGTCTCACGGGCTCCAGTGAACTCACATGCGCTCGTAGCCGTTTTGCAAGCCACACAGAATGCGGCTTCGCAGGGGAACACTGCAACCCCAAAATGTCAGCTGCCTCATAGAGCTGACAGCTGACGTAGACTGGTGCCTGAGCTTTCGGACCAACGAGCTTTGTGCCATTCACCCGCTGGTGGGATGTCCGTCCCTTCCAGGCCGAGAGGATTTTCCAAAAGACTACGGCATGCGAAGTCAAAATCAGCCCGCAAGAATTTTGGGGTGAAGGTTGATTTCGCTGACCGGGGCACTCATGCTGCGGCGCCTACCTGAAGGACGAGTTTTCGATTTATCCTGGTATGAGCTCGTTCGGCGGAGATTTGGTGGTGGGCTCCTGGATGAGCTTGCTGGATTCAAAGAGTCGCTCCACTGTGCATTGGAAGAAAGGAACTCCTCTGTTCGGGACGGCGTATCGTGTACTTGTTTCACGTATGTTTTGTAAACTTTGGTTGTTGCACATTTTGGCTCAGAGTTGTGCATGCTAGCTGTCGTCATTTCGATTTCCCGTCATGTTGTGCGGTGTTCAGTTTCTCAATTTTGCTTGCAGTGGTCGCAGAAGGCAACAACAATTCTCTTTCTGTCTTGTAGCTCGCGGGGCAGAGGGAGAGAGAAAGCAAGGTAAGACAATCGGTGGGATTGGAGGCTTAAGAGTTTGTCGACACTTGCAATTCTTGGCCGAAAGCACCTAGTTCGAGAGGAGGAGGTTAAAGATGCAGACGTCGAGCTTGCAGACGAAGCTGGCGATGTTGATGACTTTGGTGTTATTCATGACAGCCAAAGCGAAAATTGAAATCTGCTCGTCGGAAAATGAGAAGCCGGCCGCAGCGAAGACCAAAAGACGAGCAAAGAAGGCTTATTTTGACGATGGCCAAGAAGTGAGAGGAGAACTTTCAGAGGGACCTGATGGATTCTGCATGCTTTGCTTTCCATCTGAAATGCCATTCCAATCGGAGGTGCCGAATTTATGGCTTGCTCAGATGAATGAAAGCAAAAAAGGCTCGAAGCTGAAACGAGCTCGTGGGAAAGCTAAAGCCAAAGCGAAGGGCAAATGTAAGCAGTCGTCCGCCCCGGAGGAGCAGGAAGCACCGGATTCCGAAGCAGCTCTTGCTGAGGAGTCTCCTGATGCAGCAAGCGATTTTGGTTCTGACAAAAAGCTCGAGGCGGCGAGGTGCAGCTAGTGATGCACTCCTGTTCCAAGGCTATGATATCACAGGAATGCCAGAAGAGGCTCAGCTACCGGCCAATGCTTCGGGTAAGCACTCTTATACTGTTCGACTGCCGGACGGGATCGCCATTGACGTCCTTGTGAGGAACAAGGCTTTCTGGATCAAGCCAACAGAATGCCGATCCCAGTACTCCTGGTCGTACGACAATTTAGCAGATGCTTGGAGTGTCTGCCTTAAATTTTGCCGGGATTCTTTGGCAGACGAGCAGAATAAGGCTGAGTCGGTTAAAACCCTGACTGAATCGTGCCGATCGAGCTATAGGATTGTATATATCAGCGATTGTACAGATGGATGGAATTGCAAAGATCGACATGCTGCATGCATGCAGGATTGGACGAAAAATATTTTTGTCAGAAGTTTTGCAGTTTCGCTTAGTTTGCTTAAGTCACTAGTGCAAGTGCAGAGATTTTGACGAATCATGTTGCTGGTGCACACACATGCTTGACTTGATGTTGCTGCAGCCGTTTTTGCATGAGTGTTTTCGTTGTTGCTTTGTCAAGTCCGGGCCTCAGAGTGCTAGCTTAAGTTCCGAAGACACATGTTGAGATCTGGACATGTGCTCTGGCAGTGCAGGTGTTAGGTTGTTTTTTGCTGACTGCATGCATGCCAGCAGTTCAGAAGTCCAAGCATGAGCTCCTTGGGAGGAGCTAGGTTAAAGAATCTTGGCTGTTCTTGCAGGTCTGGCGGCAGCAGCTGCGATCCCGGTCGATCTTCAAATTCAGATCGAGGTGCGACGGCTTGTGTTTGCATTTCTGTGCAGCAGTCTTAATTGCAGTGCATGCTAGCTCCTTGGTAGGAGCATGTGCATGTTTTGAGATGCATGTGAGATCTAGATCTGCTGGCGATCGCTGTTTGCAGGGCATACATGTGCTGAAAACTCCTTGGTAGGAGGTAGCAGTCAGGATTCGAGTATGAAGCAGCTGCGATTGCTCCGAGCAGTTTTTTTGAGCTTAGCTGTTAATTCAGCTATGTCGCAGCGCTATGCACCGGAAGCCCTGCAGGACATTCGTATGTGTCCGAAATGCGGGACCCGGAGCTATCTCAGGAAGCGGGTGTGCATCAACATCTTATGCCAGTGGTATTACATGCGTCAGGAGCCCAATACCAATCTTTGGGCACGTGGCCCCATTCAGAGTTCAGATCCCCAGACTGCATCCTCGGGGTCCCTGGGCTCTTCGAGCAAACGATCCTGGAGCTGGACCTCGTGGAAGAACAGCGGCTACGCTGACGGCGTATATCAGAACAAGCTTGAGCAACAACTCCAAGACGTCCTCGAGGAGGAGGAATCGGACCCGGAGGTTCAGGTTGTGGCTGCTCGGGAAGGCGACGGGCCACGGATCGAGGAGGTCGTGTCCAGCGACGAAGAGGCGAATGCCTTCATCTTCGGTTTGGAGGAGAAAAACCAAGTGAGCTCTTTTTCCGAGTATGAGGACGCCCGCCATGCATGGGAAAGCGCTTCCCAGGAGCACAAGGCGGGGCATGCTCTGAGGTCAGCCATAAAGATGGAGAAGGAGCATAGCTATGGCTCGGAGAAGGCTGCGTCGGCAGCCCAAGTGGCCCTTGAGGAGGGCCAAAAGTGGCAGAGGCTTCAGGCAAAGGGTGCCACCTCCGAAAAATATCAGGCTGCAGTGCAAAAACGGCGCTTTGTGCCTGTGAAAGCGGAGCCGCCGGTGCAGGATGACCCCTACATGCAAGCTCCTGGGAAGGAGCCGGCGATGGAAAGCACCGGGGCCACGGAGCAAGGTGACACTGCTGAACAAAGCACGGCTGCGAATGAGCAAAGACTTGGGGCGATGGCGATTATTCAAGCAGCTATGGCCGTGGTTGGAAGAGCGGCGGTCGCAAGCAGCAGTCGAGCTCCAGCTGGGAGAGGCCCGGCCCGCAGAGTGGCAGAAGCCAGGATGCCATGCAGAAGTACAATGAATGGGAAGAGTTTATGGATAAAAAATCCCAGAAATATTGGGGCTCGGATCGATGGCAGCGGGACTATGCCTCTCAGGAGCAACAGCAGTCTTTCAAGAAGAGCAAAGGCAAGAAAAGAAAATTGTGGCTCGCCAGCCAGATTGAGACTCTGAAGCAGGAGGGCAGATGGGTCGGAGGAGCTCCGTCGGAATCCTCCAAGAAGCTTCGTTTGATCCGTGAGGCCTGGGTTAAATTCTGTGGTATCAGGGTATATGCTCCTAGGTAGGAGCCAGCTTCTGCAGATGCTCAGTGCATCTGTTATAACTTAAGTCACATCAGTATGAAGCACATGTTCATTCTGTTTGCAGGCCGAGGCGAAGCAGATTGCAGGCCAAGGAGCCCGTCAGGAGGGCGGTGGTGCAGCTGAGGAGCCAGCTGCAGTGGATGCGGGTCCTGACGAGGCTCAGGAGGAGCCCGGCTCGGTGCATACCTGGCAGAGCTTCCGATCCATGGTGGAAGGCGCCGAGACCATTGAACACGTGATTGGTCTTGATGAAGCCTACAAGCGCCTGAAGAATAACCAAGCGGAAACACAGGCAGAGCAGGCGGCTGCAGATGAAACCCAGGAAGACCCTGAGGATTCTGATGAACTGCGTTGAGGCAGTGTCTGCTGTAGCATAGGTGTCTTCCGCCGGATTGATCTTCCCGCAACGAGACGATAAAAACAAGGACTCCTTGGCAGGAGTCGCCAGCTAGTGTGCATCTGTGTTTGGGTCGGCAGTGCTCGTAGGTTGCAGCTTGTTGGTAGGAGTCGGCAGCTGGTGTGCATCACGTTTGCAGTTTGTTGCTCCTTGGTAGGAGTGGTCCTGCTCCTGGGTAGGAGTTTGTTCACGTGTACACATGCATGTCGTCTAGCGATTGCCAGGTCTTCGCAGCATGGAGGATCAGAACCCAGGCCAGTTCCATTTGTGATTCGTGTCCAATTCTCTCTGAGGTCTGTTGTGGGGAGTGATGGGTGAAGATAGATTCTGGTAAGCGACGGAAAATTTTTAACAAGCTTTTTTTTAACAAATTTTTAACTGTTAAAAAAATGGCTTATGAAAGGAATCCTTTCATAAGCCATTTTTTTTAACAGTTAAAAATTTGTTAAAAAAAAGCTTGTTAAAAATTTTCGGGGTCTTCCTAGACCCAGGTGCGGATCCGCAGAGCGACCATTCTCCACCGCATTGGCATCGGCAGCTGTACCCAGCCAGGTTCTTGGATTCAAGTTCGGCAGCAGAGTTTTGACTTTCTGCAGGCCAGCCCTGCCATGCAAAGGCTCGATTGTGGATGAAACAGCAACTGAGCTGGCACATGGGAGGCATGAGGCAGCGACCTGTGCTTCATTTGCCGTTGTTCGCTTTGCAGCTGATGAGAAGGCTTTTCACGACCCGGTTGAGTGCATTCGCTCTGTGGTTTCTGTACGATACATTTGATTGCTCCGAGCAGTGCTTCCAAAAGTTCTTGTATGAATGGTATACTCGTTATGTTGGCTATTGGAATGATAGATACTTCCTGAAGTGTCGCTCGGTCTCTGGAAGTGCCATCTCCTTGGCTAGGAGATTAGGTGCTGACATGCATTGGTGGCAAAACGATTATGATTTGGACGAGCTCTGACCTGCCGGCGAAGGCGATGGTGTCTTGCAAAATGAAATAACTTATGCATGCTGTGTGCAACAGTGAACATGTCATGGCACTCGTGTGCCACCGTTCTCGACTCTTCGCATGAATTTTCTGCTGAATCAATGTTTAGATCGAGCTCAGCTCACGATATATGATCGGGTAGCATTCCTGTAGCCTCCCCGGATTGATGGCGCCGGCCCAGAGCAAGGGCGGCAAAGGTCCGCAGAACAGCAAGATGGCCAAGGCCATGGCTGCAAAGAGCAAGGCCGCCAAGGCTAAGGTTAAGCACGAAAAGGTGACCCCCAAGAGGAAAGCCAAGGCTGCCAAGGTGGAGCTCGGTGATGCGGCCGAGAAAGACGATGATTTAACGGCACCGAGCGGCTTGGGGTATGCTCGGAGCACAATTTCAGCTGCTTTGACCGGGCTTCGCTATCAGCTCAAAGCTAAAAAAAACTACGGACGAAGAGAAACAAAACGCCCAAAAAGAACTCGAGGACCGCCTGCATCTTGCACTTCCGGCACTTCCGTGCCAGTTGTTTTTGATTCTTGTTTTCGTTCCACTCGTGCTCCTTGGCAGGAGTACGAGGCGGAGGACATTGCCACCAAGAGAGAGATATTGAGCAAGGTCTCACAGTTCGACGTCCGTCAGTGTAATTAGGTACACGATTTGGTCAAGACGACCGTGAATACCAACAGTGAGCACGAAGATACCGTCAAGAACTGGTACACTCGGATTTTCGGTGGCAGTTTTGTCAGATTTTTGCTCTTGTTTGATTGTCTATTCTATGATTATATTCTCTAGGCTTCGACTGTGGAACGGATGATTATATTGAGCATGCATGCACACTGCATGCAGAACGGCAATTTTCAAGCTGGAGGGCATCGATGAAAGCGGCTTGGAGGAAGATATGAAGAAGAATCTGCTGGAAAAGCTGATATCCGAAGCCGAAAAGCGGTACGGCTATGAGAGATCGACGAAAATTCACCCCAAGTTCGAGGTGCTCAGCAAGTACTTCTACATGCACTCGAAAGGCCAGGTGGCCCGCCAGGCCACTAAGACGGAATTGTTCTGTAGGGTTCGCTTCGCTTCGAGACTTGCCGGCAATGTTCAACAAAAGATCTTTGACAACAGAAGATGTCCAGGCCGTTGCTCCTGCAAAACGATTCGGATCCGAGATGGTCGACATATTTTTAAACAATGAGCTCAGTTCTGAGCGAAGCGCTCGAGTACTGCGGTCAGCACAGCAAGCCGGGGCACTGCGTGTGGAAGATTTACAGGTCCGCCCAAGAGACTCGCAACACCCATCGGGATCTTTTGCGCAAATGTTTCAGAAACACGAAATGGCCTTCGTTATATTATGCAAAGGTTCGTGGCTGGAATCAGGCGAAGAATACGTCTGAAGAGTATTTCTTGGCAATTTGGCTGCCTCACGAATCCTTGCACTCACTACTCAAAGTGAACACGCCAGAGGCCTTGCTTCAGCAGCAAGCCGAGATCTTGCCTGACAGGCCTGACCTGGAGAACCACTTGCATTTTTTTTTTTTTTTGTTGGGCTTGGATTCTGAATCCACTCTCCTCATGGGGATGTGGTGCGATGGTGTGCCTTTCAACAGCGACCGATCCATGACTTTGGAGACGATTTCTTTGAACATCTTTGGCCAGCAGAATCTTCGCCTGCCTGTTGCGGCCTTTCCAAAAGAATTTGTATCCAAATCGCAAACTTTTGAGGATGTATTCGAAATCATCCAGTGGTCCTTTAAGCAGCTGGCGACGGGGAGCATGCCAAGCTGCCGACACGATGGCATGCCCTTCAATCGAACCGATAGTTATCGACAACGTTTGGCAGGCAGAAAGCTTCCACTGAGAGCTGCTCTGGCTGAATTTCGAGCTGATTGGAGCTGTTACAAGGACGTTTTGAGCTTCCCTTCTTGGAGTTCGAAGGGGTTTATCTGTTGGCGGTGTATGTGCCCCCGAGCTGATTTGAAAAAATTTGATACTCAGACTTTCGCCAAGCATCTGGGATTGATAGATTCAAAGTTTTATATCTTTTGGCATACCCTAGCATGATACAGTCGACTTAAGGAGTCAATTAACCGGCTCGAAATATCGCCACCAGGAAAGAATTGTCTTTTAATTTCGACGTGTGAGGCATGCTAGACAGTTGAAGTCGATCGCTTATTCCTGGCAGTTGCCTTTGCCTCAGGTACCCTCTCATTTCCAGCATGGACTTCTTCATGCGCCAGAGGCAGCAGAATAAATTGGTGTCGAGATTATTTTCTTGCCCAGGATTCAATACGGCTTGCTGCAAGATGGACTTTTTACACGCTTGCGACCTCGGAGTAACATCCGACTGGCTTGGGTCTTTGCTGTTTTACTTGCAGAGTGAGAAGATCCGAGGCCTGAGCAAACTCATCCGATGTGCCAAGCTGTACCAAGACATCAAGGCATACTACGACAGAACTGGGGTCCAAGATCGATTGCCGAAGCTCCTTCCCACCATGCTTCGTGAAGAGGATCGAGGCAAGATCAAATCCCCCAAGTTGAGAGCCAAAGCAGGGGAAGCTCGAGCACTCGTCGGTGCTGCCATGGAATTGGCTACAAAGTATTTGTCGCCAGCAAAGCCTGCTGAACAGGCGATGTTGCATGGCACAGAAGCTTTGCAGTCCATATATGCCTGTCTCAGCACTGCAGCTTGGGACAAGGAAGTCTTCAGAGTTTCTTCTCAGAAGTTTCTTTTACTCTGGGGCAGCCTCGAGACTTACTTCGAGGTGGACAAGCTCTTCAGGGTTAAACCTAAAGCCCATCAGCTGTTCGAATTGGCCAGGGGCGAGGTGAACCCTAGCAAGACCTGGACCTACAGGGATGAGAGCTATGGGCATACCCTAGCATTTCTGGGCAGACGGCGTGGTGGCAAGTTTTCGATGAATGCTGTTTCTTGTCAAGTTCTCAGACGATTCCTGGCAGCTAATAAAGTTCCTCGAATCGAGATCGGCACGTGATCCTTGGGAGGAAAAACACGTGCAGTCGATCGTCCGCATGCATGTATATAATTGGGATGCATATACAGAAAATAACATTTCTTAATTAAGCATTGTTTTTGCCATTTACATACCATGCTTAAATAGACACTATAGTGTTTAATCAAGATGATTAAAGATATCTAAAAATTATTTAAGCATCTTTGGAAGCTCTGGGGACTGGTCCGAGTACCCGGAACTCGAATTGCAGTAAACTGACATCATCAATGCGTCTGGAAGCATTTCCCAAGAAATATTTGTTGCTGCATGATTCACCTTGAAGCAGATTGAGCGTGTGTGAATGCCTGAACATGACATGGGTGATGGATGTTACACATATACATATATATATATATATAATTACATTTATCACGAACGCACGACGAATACATGTTGGCATGTATGCACGTTTGCATGCATGCATGCATGCAGGCATGCATTCATGCATGTACATCTCACATACATACATCTTCGCAGCTTCATATGCTTTCGGGCAACTAGTGCTCCAGATAGGTTTTTGGATGCCCATGCATGCCATTCATGCCGTGTGGATGTTTCTTGAGAAGATGTTGAGGCCCCTCTGCAGCCGCGCTGACAGATTTGTTGGGATGGATTTTTCCATCAGAGCACGGCAGCATGAAATACAAGTATATGTATATATAGCACATGCGTGCATGCATGCGTGAAAGTACGTATCGCGTTAGCGTTTCGGTGCATCTTTTTGTTTCATCACGCCTGTGTCATGCTTGCACCACTGTTTAGCAGTCAATACAAGTATGCACCATTGGTCACCATTGTGACGTCGAACCAGTTGTCGAATCATCATCCGACCACATCTTCACTTCCGGCTCGCAGTTTCATTGAAATATCCCGGCCGCAGTGCGAACAGTTCGGCATCCTTGCTGACCCAGGTCGTTGTGTCTTGAAGACGTAGAAACAAAGGTGTTTGCTTTCTTTTAAAGCCGTTGCCCGTGTAGTT